GGCTGCCGCTGCAGCGCCCGAGTGTCCTCCTGCTGCGCTCAGGTCCTTTAAAGAGGGAGTGGGGAGGCCGGAGGCAGCCAACCGGCTGGGAACGACTCCTGAATATGCAGATGGCCGTCCAGGAGGTCAGGTCAGCGCCGGGAACCAGCCTCACCTCTCAGCCCGTCTCCCGGGCTCGCAGTGCTCGGGGGCAGGGGGCCAGACGGGCAATTCCCCCTACAATTGGGTCTGGCAACCCCATCTAGGACCCAGGATGGTGAGCTGTTGGTGAGGTGATGCAAACAGAGCAGGCTAGAGGCAACGAAGGAGCCAGCCTGGAGCTCCGGGTGCTGCCCAACTCCCACGGCAAGAGCCCAGGCATTTCCAGTGTCCCCTGCCATGGGGACACCGAAGCACTTGGGCTGGCCTGGAGGTCTGCAGTGTAGGCCACGGGCAGGAAATGGAGTAACACTGAGTCCCTTGCTTAGCACAGGCAGGCAGCAGAGCCTGCTCCAGCCCCAGGCCAGGACAAAGCTGCCTGCCCCAGGGGCACACGTGGCTGTGGGACCGGAGCTGTCAGACAGGTAGACAAAGCCTGGCCACGTGTACCACACCTGTGGCTGCATCTGCTTTGCCTCCGCACACTGACTGAAGGATGATGACTGAGGATGATGCTGTACCCAGTGGGCAGGCAGGAGGCTGTGGGTAAAAGCAGTTGACATCAGGTGGTCCAGTTCAACGCTATTAGCCCTCGAAAGAAAGACAAAGGAGAAATCCCTGGCAGAGTCTTCTTGGCTCTGTTGATTTTTGTTAAAGCAGTGAGCACATCCTCAAAACCTCAGGGACTGTCCCCTGTTGATTTTCATTCAACCTCTTTTCTTTGAAACCTATCCCAGGGATGTTTGTTGTGAATTTATATTAGGAGACTGCTTTGAAGACTGCAGTTTAGCATTCATATATTAAGCAATGGCTAAATTAAGGACGTGTGTATAACGCAAACTTAGTTTCTTGGGAGATGCAGGGCTGCCAGGCAGCCTTTTATGACTCTCCCAAGCTAATTCTCAGATTCTGCAAATGGGTTCCTTAGGTTTTCTCCCACCAGTGGTTTCCCACCTGGAAGCAGGCAGAAAACAGAAGCTGAGTGGGGGATCCTCTGATCTTTTCAACATACAGACCACATGTGAGGAACGGGGTTTACTCATTTGCCTGTTTGACATGGTGAGATGGTCAGGTGGCCTCCTTGCCCATTTCTAACCAAGCAACCTCCCACGGGCTGGTGTTTGTGGCAGAATCAACCCATGTGAGCCCAGCCCCAGGAATTGTCAAGGCAAGCAGCAAGACCTGCAGCAACACAGTGTTCAGTGGTTCAGTGAAAAGCCCCAGGCACTGCTTGGGAGCAGGTAGGCACGTTTATGTACCAGGAATTGTAGGTAACAGGAATCGCAGGTAATGTTAACTCATCGCATGAAAGCTCCAGCACGTGGACAGGCAGGGAAGGAGAAGGATACAGGCGACAGGATACAAGGCACAACCAGGACCTGCGGGCCGCCTGCTCCTGCAGGGGCTGCGGGAGACATGTTAGGTACAGCTCCACAAGGAGCTCCTGAGTATCACAGAAGATCC